AGCTCATCTTATTTACATGGTTTCAAATAATTTTAATATGCTCGTGCTATCTAATCTAATTTAGATATTATGTCTAGGACTTTCTGAAGCATCAGGAGCAGATATCTGCTTACTTTAGAAAAGTGGTTCTCAAACTGTGGGTCTTGACCCCCTTGGGATCTCATTTCAGATATTTACATTATAATTCATAAGAGTAGCAAAATTAAAATTATGAAGTAGCAACAAAATAACTATAGTTGTATGTGTGTGTGTGGGGGGTCACCATAGCATGAGGAACCATATTAAAGGGTTGCAGCATTAGGAAGGTTGAGAACCACTGCTTTCAAGTCTGGTTGTAAAACTATACCTGCCATTGTCCTCTTAAAATTTACTAATTTCCCAAGTCCATTTCCTGTTTCTCTGCCAAGGACCCTGTGTATGGATTCTCAAGGCAAACCTCTGGGAGTGTCTTCAGCACCAGCTACTGCATTCACATCCAAATTGGCTTATGGAGTAAGCCTGGTACAGTCTTTTCCTATAATGTATCTCTGATCCATCTGACTTTCCATGTCCACCGCAGCCACCATCCTGTGTAGATTTGTGCCTCCTCCTTATCTCCCAGCTTTCCTTCCTACCCAGCTCTTACTCACTCTTCTGACCCCACCCTACACAGAAGCCAGACTGAGCTTTTGGAGGAAAAAACGACAACACTGATGTTTCTCCTTTATAGAAATCCTTTAATAGCTTTTCCATCCATCTTTGGATGAAGTCCAAATTCCTTTTGAGCAATGAGGTTCAATGGGATCTGACCCCTGAATATCTCTTTGGTCTCCCCTCACCCAATATTTTATTAAGAAAATTTCTAAAGAGGCAGCAGAATGAACAAAACTGCTTTACAGGGACGATTCATGGACCCACTTGGTTTTCATCATTAATGCTTTATTGGCATTTTATCACATTGCCATCTATTTACCCACTCCTCTGTTCTTCCATTAGTCAGTCTTGGTTTTGGTGTATTCCCGATTAACTACAGACTCCTCCCTCATTTTTAAATACTTTCCCTTACAGTCATAGCTATAACTATCTCTCCACTCCTTAAATGTGTCAGATGATTTTGAATGTCTGGGTTCCTGTTCCCACTGCTCCTTCTCCCTAAGGCACCTTGAGCCCTTGCTAATGCAGCTCTCATCCTTCAGTCCTTAACTTAAACTGCCAGATGATAATCTACCCTCAGATCCCAGTCTAGATTAGACCCCTGTTCCATCATACATGTGCTGTACATATTGACTTGCTAAATTAACCATCCAATATTTTATCTTGCCTGTTAGACTGGACATCCTATGAAAGCAGAGGCCATGTCTGTACTTGAAAATGCATCCTTTTTAAACTCTGCAGAAAGCTAGGTGGTATTTCTAGAAAGACTAAAGGTAGAACCCACCAACAACTGGAAGGAACTACAAGAAGCAATTAACCCATTCTTTTTTGAATAATGTGTAAACAAGACGACTTTTCTTATGGCTTCTGGGAGAAAATGGAGCTTAGTGATGCCAAACTATAACCAGCAATTAAGAAAATTGGTAAATGACTAGTTTCCTGGCTAGAGGACCAGACGGGTGGCTTCTGCCATATTCCTGATAACTCTTCCCCTTGAAAGTACCCTCAATCAACATACAGCTTAAAGCAAGAGAGAATGTTTGATATGAATACCAATAGCTAGAGTAGATTGGGGCTGATTTGTGGTAGGCAATATCATAAATGCTTTTTCTGTATCAGATCATTTTTTTTTTCCTGTGGCATAGGTTCTAATGTGATTCCCATTTTAAAACTAAGAAGACTGAGGACTGTAAAGCTATTTTAACCCGTGTCATTTATGACACTATTCTGTGACCCCATTTGGAAGTACAAGGTTAATTTAGAAAATCCACAGACTGCCATAATGAAGATAAGTGTTTCAATTACTACAGAAGACATCTAAAAATGCAGAAAGTCACATTTAGATCTTAGAGAGTCTAGACACGAACCCTTAGGGAACCTTCAGCCCCACATCTGATGGAACCACCATATTGACTTTATGCTTATGCTCACCCCAACTCTGTCTTTCTTTACATGTCACCAATGTACACATTTTAAAATTACTCCTGAGAAGAATTCTGCTCCAGATAGAAAGAAGCTCAGCTCATACACTCAGGAAACCATTGTCGTCTTTCTGGTCATAGGAGGCTACATACAGAATCTCCTAGTGAAAACATGTGGGCTTCAGGCACAGTCTCTAGCTCGAAGACTACATGTTCCTAAATGGATGTCCTTGTAACTAATAACATCTCTAGGTCTCAGGGGCTTCCGTTGACATCCCATTCTGGATATGTGGAAATGTGCATAGAAAAGCTCAGAAGAAGAATGCTTGGAGTAGGAAATGCCTGATGATGCTGATGCTGACTTGAGAAAGCTAGAAGACAGAAAGCTAGAAAAAGGTGGGAGAGGGCAGCAACTTTGATGGCCCATCAAGGAGAGAGAGAGAGAGAGAGAGAGAGAGAGAGAGAGAGAGAGAGAGAGAGAGAGACTTAGTTCATGGCATACACATTGCTCTTAGCTAGATGAACCTGCCTGCAGCTACCACTTACAATGCAAATTGAGCTTGGAGTCCTTCACAGTAACTACACAGCAAACCCCTTTCAGCTTTAAATAGAACACTGCAGTGTGGGGTGATCTGAGCAAAGGGGCGGGGGGAATCCAGAGAAAACGTGAAGGAGAATTTAGCGGAAAGTATTCTGCTGTATTTGAGCAGGCAGAAGTGTGAATGTAGAGAGATCATGAAGAAAACAGAAAAGTAGTATCTACTAAAGGATGAAGAGGACAATTCATCAGTAAGTGGGTTTAAATTGTCAAGAAGAAAAGAAGTTTTGAGGAGGAGAATTTTGGGGAGAAGACTTGGATCTGCTGCTCTCTCTCTCCTCTCGGGGCAGGCTGGCACTTCCTCAGGTGTGCATTAGAAGAGGCAGAAAGGCTCCTTCCCTACTGACCAGCTCAACTGAATGGATAGCTGAGAGAAAAATAGACCAAGACTACAGAGAGCTTCTTGCTCTGCCAAGCTTCTCTTCCATTTCCCCCTCTTCCCAACTCTTCACTAAGACCAGGTACAGGGGTCTACAAGAGATGGGTTTGTACAAACCAGAAAAGATTAAAAGCTCTTTTTTTGCTGTAAACTCGCGCCTCATTGTTACTATATAAACTCAAGCATTCCATCCAGAATCAGAATTTATAAAAATGCAGTTACATAGGTACAAAGGTAGTATCCAGGACCCTGGAAACAATAAAGGATGTCATTTTTAAACTTCTTTCCACAAATGGCATTCCTATACACCTGGCTCCAGTGCGTTCACCTCAGTTTGGTAGGTTTCCCTTTGCCTGTGCAATGTAATATAAGAAAACACGAAGGCAATCCTCTTTCTTTGTAGGCACGCACAGGCAGCTCCCTACCCACCACACAGCTATCAGGCTCAAGGCTGACTTCTCTTGTGGATGGCATGTGCTACCTGGTCACACTCAGTCACAAAGCACAAAGACTTTAAATCACACTGCTGCTGTGGAAATTTTTTTTTTTTTTAATCAGCAAGAATGAGATTCATGATGGGGCAGGGATAGGTGGTCCATCTTAAAAGTCATCTCTAATATTTCAGGGCTTGCAGTGCATCTCGTCCCATAGACGTGTTGGGCTTGATGGTCCCCAGACATGGTGATGAATGGAGAAAGCGTTTTCAATAGCACTTGGAATTCTTCTATCTACAACTTCCAGAGACGTTTGCAGAGGGTACCACCATTACCCCTCCCCCATATTTATGTGTCTTTTTATGTCCCTCGGAGCTGGCGCTCTTACTTGACCCATTGCATTTCTCTGATGTAAAATTACAGAGATTTTTTTTTAAGCATTCTAGAAGAATCACAGGCTAATATGCCTTGCAACGTTTTCCCTAAGTACCTTCACGCACATTTTTCTCACGTGGGATATTACCACAGGACAATGCAACACTTTCGTATTACTTGCCGAACCAAGACCCACAGGTAGAAAATGAAGCTCAAATGCGAGACTTGTGTCATCCAAAGGAAACTTAAATGCCTCCTACACAAAAGGCAGGATACAATCCACCTGCTGACTTTCCCTGAAGGCCTTCCCAGAGCTTATGCTGGTGAGA